GCTGCCTCTCGTTGGAGGAGATAGAGTTTAACTCAACAGTACCACCTCTTTGTACTTGTGACCGAAGTCGAGTTCGACGTCACAGCTGCTATTTACTTGAGTTCACCATGGAAGACGGTGTTCATCGGGGTTTCCCTATATGTTTCTATTCAACCATTAAGTGTATATGATTCGTGAAACAGCTCTGTTCTCATGGAGGACGTTGATATGCTCTCAGGTGACAAGTTATTTCATCTGAAGTGTACAGACAACTTTGTATTATTAAGTAAAAATTCAAGTAAGTTGCAGGTTTTTTTATGGTTTCAATGCCAGTATAACTATGTCTGGTTCACGTTTTTCACCTTGAAAGTATAAAGCAAATTCGCAGATTTGGGTAGATTTAATTCCGTAAGTGAGGAAGGAATCAAGAAATTAGATAAATTTATCTATCTGGGCATCTTATGTGATGAGCGAATCTCTGATGAATTTTAGGCGTTTGACAATTTGAAACATCTATGGCGCGTCGCAACACCCGCCTGTCGGCGATGGATCAAGCAGGTCGCCTGATGGTGCTATATGATGCAAACACTTGACCGTTTTGCGAACAAGCTAACGGCAGGTTATCGACATTTGAAAAACTTTGTGTACGCCTTGTTACTCGAGTCTAATGGGTCAACCGAGCAAGCCAACTGCCAAGTATGGACAAAGCAATATTATGTAGTCACATTTCCACACTAGAGACAATGCCCAACTTTCATAGATTGCGTGTTTCGGATAAACGCTCCACCCCACTGCCATGAAACATTATGATTATAGATTTTACCATAATCTCCATTTTCTCTTTGACTCTGCTGTCAACTTTCGTGCCTTTCTCCGACTGCTTCATCCAAATGGGCAGCCAAAAGATAACAACGATAATCGGTGCACGCAAGTGCAGGGTTAATTAATGGTTGTACAAACTGAAATAATAGAGTTTTCTCATTAAGTGTGTACTGTCAAGTATTTGAATGGTGATATTCCGACGTACAAAATGCAAGAGTTGACATAAGATTCTGTTTCTCTTATGATCAGTCCAACCTGCGTCATTAAGTTCCCCGTGCTCATTCGTGTTCTACATTTATATGTATTTCGGTTTTCATCTTCCAGGAGTGGTTATACGCACTTACGGGGCTGGAAATATCCCTGCCGCCCGAAAAGACTTGCTGGCCGCGTTTAAAGCAGCTAGCGACCGAGGCGTACTGATGATCAACGTGACCCAGTGCTACAAAGGTGGTGTGAAGGCGATCTACTCGACCGGAATGATATTGAACAATTATGGAGTGATTCCCGGTTACGTGAGTATGATATTAATCTCATTTTTCTTTGTACATAGGAAGAATATGCGACAGGATTGCTTTCGACCGATCGCACCCAACGAGGATTATAGATACGGGTGACAACGAGATTTAAGCAGATAATGTGGCCTCAAGTTCATTTACTGTTTTTTTGTATCATTATTTTACTAATCATACTCTTGGCTATTATTAGTATTAATATTTGTCATCGTATTGCCTCAACATTTATGTGGCACGGGGTTTTCCGAATCATGACATCCACCTCAACTATGTTTTGATCATCCCAATTATTCCTATTATGGATAACATCGGTTTATTCGTTTCATGGATTAACCTGTATGTGAAATTATCATTTAGGCAGAAAGTTCTGCGCAATCCACAACTCAATCAGGCGCGCGTCATTCGTAACTCATACGGGCCCGAAACACAACACGAAAAACAATGGCGTTAGACCTATTCGTACAAGGATAGAGGCACTGTAAAATCAGGCTGAGGGTATGGTAGTGATACACTGCCGTCTTCAGTGGCCGATACTTCTGAGTAAACTGCTGAACGAAAATTAGGTTGTTTTCAAGTTTTCAGAACGAATGATGCAACTGCATAGGTTGCCACCTAACCCAGTTATGTTCATATGGTCACACGCCCGTTGTTATTTGATGCCCAGATTTATATCAGACAAAAAAGCTCTCTTGTGCAGGAGGAGGTGAACAGAAAACCAATACAGGAAGAATCCTGGTGTCTTTAGCCGTATACACTACAGTATTATCTACTTGTCGGCTGCAAATATACAACCGTCTTCTTCCGCAACATTTGCATTGATTGAACTTTTCACATCCTGATCATTTGTTTCTTTTTCTTTTTTTCTTCTCAACCCTATAGGATATGACCACAGAGGCTGCGCTAACCAAACTGGCTTACGTTCTGGGAAAACGAGATCTTCCTGATATAGCTTCCAAGCGTGACTATCTGTTGCGTAGTCTGCGTGGGGAAGTTACCATCGAGGGTGAGGATGCACAATCTGCCCGACTAAACGGGTTACGTCATTTGACTCACATGGGTTCCGAAAAAAGTCTGATGACCTATTTGGCCGAATTGTTTGCCAGGGCCAAATCAGAGGATCTTGATGGCCGCGGCTCGATGTGGGTTCGACGACTGGCTCCCGCCCTGGCCTGTACCGCTGCAGCCTCGAATAATGTGGCCAGTTTGGAGGAATTGTATCACATGATGGGGCATTTACAGGTAACTGATCAGGCGATCCCATTCCATCTTCAGATAGATGAACACCGTCTATCGGTTTTATTTCAGGGCTCAATTTGCACCACAAAGAGCAGTATATGACTCGAAGTCCGTATGCATTTCTCCCATTGCGATATGCTTCTCCCTGGGACAAGTGCATAGTGTGTGACTGTTATCTGGTTGTGGTGGTGATAGTGTTTAGGGGGAGGGGCTGTCAGCTAGCCTTCAGTTCGAGGTTCGAACTCAGGTGCTGCCAACTTTATTGGTGAACGGTTCGGTTCAGTATCAAAACTGTTCTGTTGGGGCTGTATGTAGGCTGCCGCCCTAAATCCTAGTGCTGAGATCGCCTGTTCCCATGACTGAATACTAAATAGACGGGGTTAATCTCCTTTACCGTTAATGGTACATTGGCGTGTAGTAGAAGAACACCCTTCTCAACTCTGGAACATCTACCGCGACACTAATTACACAGAGTAGCTTAAAAGAGGATTATTACAAGGCCGGAATTGTTTGCACTCAAAAGTAAATCAATGATTAGACACAATGTACCTATCCTACAACCGCGAGTTGTTACTGCAGGTGTTTGCCATGCTGTGTTTCATTGTGACCACATTTGAAACGTGACGAAGCGTAATAGTCACTTTGTGTTTATGATACCTCAGTGACTAACTGTTGTTTTTAGCCCGCTGTTTAAACATTAAAGGTCTTATCGTGAGTGCGGTTGCGTTTCAAATGAGCACCGCCAATCCGTTATTCTTCTAACTTAGAAACACTTGGCCACAGTTATAACATTCCGTGAATAAATTGACTAAAGATTTTCATTTTTTGTTTGAACCCCTACGGTAACCTGACAGTTTCGACGATGTACTTTCGATTGCGGCCTCGTGATAATTTTAACATACCTGGTGCCAATGTGTTTGGTAGCATTTATCATGTGGAACTTGTTACCGGATTATAAACTACCAGATTCGTTGTTTCAGGTANTTCAGGTAGCAGACAGCTCTCTTGAATGACTTGGGTAACGGAAAGATGCCGTTTGTGTATTGCAGAAAGGTCATGGGCGAAACACGCTGTTTTTTATAGTTCATTTGCCGATCAGTGTAATTATATAAAGGTTATCTGTGGTATTCCGTCCGATTCATAGATCATATCAAACTAGATGTCAAGCTAGATCTGTTGACTTGCTAACAATGTCTCGACTAAGTCTCCCTTATCATGTGGGCTTATTTATGTATGACAGTTACAGGAATAACGTCCAAGTAACTAGTTTTTGATTGAAATGAAATGTCTTTTTATTTCATTTTTTATTTACTGAATAAACAGTTAACCTTCAGGAAGGGGGACGCGGGCATGCAAAGGCTGTCTAGGGGAACACAGAAATAGGGAAGACGGGAGGCGGTGGAGCGGTTCGAACCTGGGACTTTCGGGTCACAATTGTGGAATGTGTGGGAGGTTTGTCGACTACACTAGCTTCACTGATACGTGGAATGCAAACCCCGGGTTGTTTTCACGTGGATGGTCACTTGCTATACGTGATACAGAATGTGGTATTCGCCATTCGCTCGATATCGCATCTTTACTGAAACAATTTCACTTTGCAAGGTGTTATTTCCTTCCATTTTAATACAAGTTTTAGAACCACCGCAGTGGCTGATGCTCACACATTAATCTGGGGGTGCCTTAACGATGTCATAGAGATAGTATACGCACCACAATGGCAAGTGAAGCGAATATGGTCTAGTACAACTCTACTGTACATTGTCTAGGTCTTAGAGTGGCATATCAATAACCTCATCTTCCTTCTCACTTACATCTGCTTGAGTAAGAAATGAAATGGTGTTAATAATGAAAGAAGTGATATTTTTTGCGGTTTGCAGCTCACTGACCCACTTTGCCATCGGAACACCGCTTTGGATGGATAGTTGAAATATGGCGTAATCAATAGCTATTCTTGAATCCTGGGCTGGTAAGAAAGCGAATCAGTAATGCACATTTAGTCTGTGCTAACCACATTCGTCTGTTCTTTTTTTCTTTGCTATTTTCGGCGTGCGTTGTTAAGCAGTAAAGCACTTGTCGCATTTGGTTGTGGCTTTTCTGTCTTGTGTGTGAATGGAGAACACGACTATCCTGGCATCTCGTGATGTGTTCATTGTTGTTTTGTTTGAGGTCCCCAGAAAACGGATATTCTCGTAACGAGTTCAGCGATTGCTGTTGCTCAACCGGATGCTATCCAGTGTTTCGATCGCACCATGTACAAACCGTTCCGAGATTCTTCAGTATTGTTTCGTCCGGTTGTCTCTATCCAGAGCAATAAATTGGGTTTAGTTACGACGCAATATGTCCCTGAGGGATACAACCGCTGTTTCGCACATTTTCATCACCAAGCCTCAGCACGTTTTCATGTAGTTCGGCTACTCATCCGCGTAACACGGACGACGTACGGTGTGATAATGAGGCGTATCCATTTAACATGGAACAGCATGGAATAAGCATAATCAATAGCAAATGTGAAATAAGCGTCTGCACGTTATAGTGTGGTTAGAAGTTTTAAACCAGCGTCAAAGCTATATCAGTCAGCACGTGTTCTGCTGCCCACACCGTATCCGTAACAAACTATGGGTGTGTCTCAAAAGCGGGCATCAATGGCGTCAACGCGAGGTCTAATGCAACTAGTGTTCTTTGATCAGTTCCATGATATATTCACACCCGTGTCGCAATTTGTGTCCGGTGCAACTTGCTGCTGAAAATCTTATTGCTTCGTTCGAATTGTCCGCTATATTCCGTACCTTGTTCTGTCGTGGTCAACTTCTCACGCAATGACCCCCTTCCACCCACACACCAAAACTGTGCCACCTTTCTGAACCAAAGTGTACCTGAATCAGCTTACACACTGGATCCTTATCCTTTCCTGTGGGACAGATAGGAATGAAACCTACGACGCATCTGACCGGTCCGGGGGTAATGACGGGGATCGTTACCACCAGTAGTAGGAGTAGAAAGTTGAATCAAGCAATCGGTCCTTGTGCATCACGGTGGCTGAACATCCTGCAGTTGCATGCGATGAACAATGATTGATATAGTGCAGCAAAGTTGAAAACAAAAAGAAGCATTAGAATGAGGAAAATCAACACCAAGAATGCACGAGTTAACAATTTGTTTGATGATACCATTGCAGTCAGATCAGGTAACACGAGTCATGAGTTTGTAAGCAAGCTGGCTGCTAAGCCTCGGTGCTTGCGTGTGTTTACAACGAGAACGAGCAGTTGAGAAAGAAAGTCACTTAAAGTCAAAGTCCAAGTTTCATTGTGGGAATAACTTACAAGCTCGTGCTTCTCTTGTCCTCATAGTATATTTACACAGATGAATCGTTGCACGCCGAAAAAGAAGTCACATAGAGTTCCGGGTAGGAGATAGAGAATGTAGGCCACAGTGAATTTGCGTTTGCTTTTAGTGGTGCACGAATGTGAGGTGTGCCAAGGTTTCATCGAGTCTCTACTTGAAAGATTCAATATTTGATGCACAAATGACATGAGATGGAAGGGCGTTCCAAGAACTGCATACTCTGACTGCAAAATCTGGCGTCGGCATTCCGATCGACACTTTGGAATCAGTAGCTTGAAAAGGTGTCCCCTTAGGTGTAAATTGTTTGATAACATGAGCAGCGGTCGACACAAATGGTTTGGGTTCTTCAGTATTTGATACGTCAAAATCAAGTCTCCCCGAGTTCGGCGGTACTGAGCAGAATATAATCCCAATGACCGCAATCGCTCCTATGTCAGGTAATGCAATCCCTTGATCACTTTGGTAGCCATCCTTTGTAGGAGCTCAAGCATCTTGCGATCACGTTGAAACCATGGACTCCAAGCTTGGATGGCGTACTCTGTGTAGGGTCGAATGTACACTGATAGCAAACGTGGGAATAGTGATGATTCACACGGGCCAGTAAGCCGAAATTCTTCACAGCAGCGGATGAAGCCTTAGCACAATTGATGCAGCAGCTTAAATCCTTTTTAACAACAATACCTAAGTCCTTTTCACTAGAAGTGTGTGATAGCTGCTGATCCCCGAGGAAATACGAGAATTTTCTATTGTGGCGTAGGGATAGAACTTTGTATTTAGAAACATTAAATTCAATGTCGTTCTCCTTAGACCATTGATAAGCTGCTTTGAGGATTCCTGAAGTGTTAGAGAGCCCTCGGGTTCTGTTACTGTGTTCCAGATTTTGGCGTCGTCTGCAAAAAGTATCGCTTTTGGGCCTAGCACTTTCGATAGCACGTTTATGAATGCGAGGAACAGACGGGGACCGAGTACGAACCCTTGTTGAACACCGCGACTGGCTTTGATAGATCCGGATGGGGAATCAGAAACACGAACTGATATGGTCCGTTGTTTGAGGAATGCTCTAATCCAGTCAAACGCGGAATATCAAATACCATAATTGTAGAGCTTCTGCAGCAAAATTTTGTGTTTCACCCGATCAAATGCTTTCGGGAAGTCGAGATAAGTCGCATCCACCGCATCCCCTTCGTCGACTGTTTTGATCCATTCATCTCGAACAAGAAGCAGTTTGGTGGAGCAGGATCGCTTTTGCCTGAACCTGTGTTGAACTGTCGAGAGGATGTTGTATCTTTCGAGGTGTTCCACCAGAGAATCTGCTACAATTGACTCCTTGACTTTCGATAACACCGGAAGCAGGGTTACAGGTCGGTAGTTAGCGGGGTCACTACAACAACCATGTCTATGGGTGAAATGACTCCTTGTTTCCACGATTCTTAGAGTGTTGCTTGATCGAACATTCGTTGAAATAGCATGGTTAGCGGTTGGGATATGTGATTCGCCAAAAAAATCAGAGATTTCGGGTGTATATTGTCCGCACCTGGGGTTGCATTTTTTTGCAAAGCCATTTTTTCGCTTTGACTTTTCAGCAGTAAATGATACTTGGGTCAGTGAAGGATGTGGAAGATGATGCAACCGGGGAGGCAGTTGTAAATCTTCAACCTGCGGTGCTGCAAAAACATTGGAATAATGGGTTTTCAGCATTTCAGCTGCTTCCGTTGGAGTGGCTGCAACTCTTCCAGCGCTACTTAGTGCCGGTATACCAATCTTTACTTTCCGAATGGAGTTGACGTGTTTGTACAACAGCTCAGGGTTAGAAATGAATTTCTGTGCTAGCGCCTCTTTGTATTTCAGTTTATCTTCACGAATCAGCCTGGTGCAGTGGATCTTCAGCGTACGATAAATATTCCACGTGCCAACATTCGGAAGGCGATTATAGTCTCGCCAAGATATGTCCCTCGTCGATAACTGTTTCCTTGTGGGGCTTCGAATAGGTGAATTTCGGATGCCCGATTTGGTGATTACTCTAGTCCTAATCACGAATGTCATTAGATTTGTGAGACTGTCAATAAATTTCCTCCAGGCGACCAACGGATTAGATTCTTCGTCACAGGAAACCCACTGAATAGAAAGCGCCAAGTTATTCAACAGTGTTTAATCTATAGATCTGCGCGTGTTACCTGGGGAACTTTCGTGAATCGAAGCGTAACAAACATATTTGAGTACTGCATGATCGCTGCGTCCTAGGGGGAAGTCACATTGACAGACTCTATCATCAGCTCCTCATTGGTCAACACTGAATCCAGTACGGACGGCGACTGTAAGTTTCCAAACCTGGTGGCCACGCGTGGGACGATCGCTTCTGAGTAGAGACATTTCTGATTAATGTCAATTCGGAGTCCGAAATGTCAGCTGTAAGCCAAGTCTCTATAACAGCAATAATATCCCACTGACTAGATACGAAAAGTAAATTCAACTCTGGAAATTTGCCGAGGAGTCCTTGAGGAGTGGAAACGGTTTAGATACTGTAGGTGTAGAAATCTGCTTGGGTAGGAAGTGGTATCTCGGCCGACCCCTTCGCGGTCGGCAACCATTAGGTTTATAGCAGATGAGCTCTGGTACTTTAGACCACGGGTTGCGTGACGGAGTTCGATACCTACATGGAATGATCTATTGCATCAGATGGGTTCTCCAAATTTGGGGGTGCTTTGAGCCCCGTGTTGAGTAGGGGTCTCACACGTAGTTCCGGAGNCCCCGCCATAAGTGTAAGACTGCGTTCGCCATTTCTGTAGTTCCAAGGGTAACTTTCATTATCCTCCGACCGTTACCACGGTAATGTGGTGAACAGGGAAGACGACTGATTGAGGTTGTCAAAAGGTTGCTATACTCGAGTCGATTTTGAATGAATCGCCATTCTCTTCGCTCGTTCTGATAACCTTTTGGTTCATCCGGATCGTCCAACTGCGGGATACCGTGGATAAGGACGACCCTCTTATTTTCCTCCACTCTTGCTCTCATTGGATCGGACTGATGCTACATTCGTTCCGGCCATGGCCTATCAGGGAAGATTCTTATTGGGCAGGAACTCTTTCTGAGACGGTGACTAGAATGAAGAACGTCCTCCAAGTTCTTATAATCTTTCAGGGTCACCCGGAGCAGTCTGGGTTCCCCGGCATGTGGCGACGTCGGCTGGCGCATGAGTCTTGTGAGGCCGACGGGTAGAACAATAATACCCATCTGCACGCACAAACCCTTCCAGTGTTCCATTTCCCCTCCTAGTCGTTCTTTAAGTGGTTGGGTTGTCGGTTCGGGTACATTTGTGCAGATAATTGTCAAGGTGGTGCTACTCACACCTTTTTTCCTCAGTATGGAAGGCCTTGGTGTGGACATGACGAGTTTCGTTTGAAGAAGAACCTTTTTCTGTTCAGAAACTTTTACCGCGTCTTTCGTTACAGTGGAAGCCATGTTTATGTCGGCAGAGGTTATACATTGCGTTGGAGCGGTGCTGATTAACGAACACCTTGGACGTTTATCCGGTTGTTGGATTGGGTTCGACGGAGGGATCTGGGAGCTCAGGGTAGCTATCTTCTAATTCAGAAATTTTTAAGTTAGCTTTAACTTCCACAGCTAATAGTAGCTTATCGAACCTGTTTTCAATGCCCATCACGTATTTTATAATCGGAGTTTTCATGCAATCACTGCAAAACCAAAAACAGTCCTGTTGTGCTAGCATCTGTTTCATCTTCTTAATCGATAGATTGGCGCATGCGGCGTGAAAGTTCTTCTGGTAGTATGTGCATGACATTCCTGCTTTGACCACCTTTCCCGTAGCTTGTTGAGCCGCACACACTCGAACCTTGTGTTACTAATAGTGTTGACAAACTTCGGCGACCCATTTTTGGTGCACTGTGAATGGCGAGATGGGAGATTGTTGACGAAGGTCAAGTGACGCGAGGTCGAGGCTGAGTTAACCACACGTCAGTGAGGAAAGTGCGCGTGTAAGACAATGACCGGGGGCAACCGGTGCGTATTGATCGTTGCCACCGGAGATGGAGGGAAGTACATACGTGCAGACGCGATGGAGGACGAAACGGAATTAAGTAACAATTTTTATCCGTAGCTCTCTTAGAAATGATTCTAGAGAGCTCAATACAATCTCGTTGGATAGAGCGTATAATTCTCTTCAAAATGATATCACAATGAAGATACTGCGTGGAAACTTGAACAAACTTACGTGCGTGAATAAGATGGAGAATTCCCTCCGAACGGCGGAGGCGTGATACTCGTAGGGTATATATCCAAGAGAGTGATATGACACGATGATGCTCATCGAACTGAGTCGAATGAGCGCGGACTACATTTTGTACGACGAGTTTTGACACAAAAAATCCACTGAAACCGAGAGCACACAAATTGAGCGATCGCACGTTACTGAGTAACGTCGAAGGTCAACACATATGATATAAAAATAATCAGATAAAATATTATACAAGAGTGTTTTACTAGCTGGACATAACCGGTCTGCAACATGCTGCACAAGGTGTCCAAGGGGAAAGAAATTTGAGAAACCCGGAGATAGATCTTTCTTAATACTGAGTAGACCGGGAGAATCACAGTGGAAGTCAGTGAGGCTAAATGAAGGAAGAGATGAAGCGTTTTAATAAATGCTTGGGGTTAAAAAGCGAAAGGAAGCACAAAACCATAAAGCATAAATCTGTGACGCGATCAGAACAGCCGAGGTTGTGCCGAAAGATTGCAAGATATCTGATTGGTCACAGTATAAGATACTTCGACACGTAGTCTGTTTTTTAAGTTTTACTTTCTTTTATTAAATATACAATGATATTGTTTTCAGGATGGGGAGACTGCCAATCAAAGGGCGGTCATACAATAAATAATGGGAAAGTCAGGCGGTGGTGATCTGTACCATCGAGCCACCATACACACTTCTAATTTAATTTAATTTATCACGTTTCACCCTTTGTCCTCTCTAGAGTTCTAACGTTTTCTACCCGTGTATTCATTAAACCACAGCTAGCAGATAGTGAAGGCTCTACCACTCTGCACAAAGCCACCTTACATGGAAACTACGAGGCAACTCGATTCCTTCTGGAACACAGCGTGGCCGTGCATACCAAGGACATGTGGGGTTGGACGCCGTTGGAATGTGCAATTCGCAGTCCGCGAGCTTCTCCCGAATTAATCCGATTATTATTGGATGCAGGTGCACGTCTATCGTCAGCCGATCTGAAAATTTCTCGCGGGATTAGTCTAGCCGCGGCAGCCGGAGACATCAACCGGTTACGACTGTACAGACTTGCTGGATGTGCCCTGGAGGTAGGAAGGGGGTGGGGGCATGTGTGGTTTACATTACACTGATTGCATTTGAGATCATTTGACTGGTGTATTTTACTAATCTCTGCCTACTAAACTTATCATATCTTATCAGCTCAGGTTCCATGGAATTTGTTCGTGTTTGCCCTTTCGTTTCTGACAGTGATATATCCAGTGTTCTTTGTCAGCCAATGTTCAATCGCCTGCATTACTCTAACTATTACGTCATTCTCTGGTTTATTTCGAACAGAGAGTTAGGGCTTCTATTTCGTCGTCACTTAGCCTAGCCTGACCACGAAACGTTAGACGGGACGGTGGATATGCACTATTGATGAGCTCTAATAGGAGGGGAAACTCGAATTTAGTGCTTTTGAGTGTATGGTTGATTGGATTAACCGAGGACTGTTCGTGAATGTGAAGTCCAAAGAATTGTCAAATCAATCGATATGTCCAATGGTTTGGTTATGTTTTGCATATGCCTGCCCATAGTCTATCTTTCCATTCGGTTTCTTATTAATAATATGATTTGTTTTCTAAGTGCGAAGTTCCGATCATTATTTTCACTGCCTACTGTACCGAACAATCAGGAGTCTTACAGTACTGTATCCTGTTCGGGCCGGTCAACCTCAAAACAATAGTAGTGTGATATTCTGTCCTCTTCCTTTCTACTAAAGGATGTCGATTCCGAGGGACGTAATGCGCTGCACGTGGCCGTGGCCAATCATCAGTTGGAAACCATCAAATACTTGATCAGTCCGTGTACACGGAAATCCGATTCCCGCGTTAAATTTTCTGCCAGTTTTGACACAGACGAGCTGAATGCCCAGTTCATGGGCGGTGCCGGTGTGGATCCACGAATCACCACCAACTGGGGCACGACCGCGTTCGACGAGGCCAGGCAACGCAAATTTGATGATGTGCTCGAACTGTTAGAACAAACACATGTTCAGGCTCGTAAGGACTCAGTGATTGAAAGCTAGATAGAGTGTGTAGTTTGATTGCGTTTGTTCCGACACAACTATGTTGTGATTCATTGAAAGTCACTTTTTGGTGTATCTTTCTTTTTCAACCATCAGCCAGATTTCATGTTTTGTTTTGTTTTCCTCCAGTCTTGTGACCTCCTCTTGCATTTTACCGTTGCCATGAGCGCCATTCATCTTCAGGAAAGACAGTTAGTCTATTTTCATGTTCTGTCTTTGCCGTCTCTCGAAATACATTGCCAAACAACATGCGGCTCTGTTCATGGAGATTTTCATACATGTACATAGAATAACTATTGTGGAAACAGGTCAAACCTGTCATAGCGCAGATTTTCTAGTCAGTCATTTTTATACATACACGTTTTTAATTCCCGCTGCCATAAAGTGCTCTTCCGTGTGATTGGTCATTGGTGATATTTGTTTTCTGCCGCGATTGGTTCACGTATCCGGCCACCGTTTTCTTCTCTGTATCTGGTTCGGAGCGCTGAAAATATCTTAGTCCCCCCACCGCCCCGCGTCCCACTCTTATTGTCAATTTTTATCATGACTTGCTCTATTCCTATCAGTGCCACACTTCTGCTCCTCAGCACTCGGGTTCTCCTCCCAGTCGGAATTCTACTTCATTTTTTCTCTATCTTCGATGGACATTGCCATTTTGTTGTCTGATTTTGGCTTTAGGGTTATGTCAGTTTACCGGAAAGTTTTGCTCTCTGATGTCTTGCCTCCCTATCCCTTCGTTTGACTGAGGTGCACGCGCATAGTTGTATTCATTTTTTCGGCCAATCACGACTCCTGTTTCCATTGTCTACTAATTGAAATGTGATACCGATTCCTAACTGTCCTACTCACAATTGTGTGTAAATTGAAATTTATATAGGCTTTGGTCTGAGTAGGCGGAAGATCAAAAGTGAATTGGGATGGTCAGTGAGCGCGTTTCAAGCAGCGTTCGTTAAATTTTGAACGTGGGTCTATTTTCTTGTAATACGTGATCACTGCTGTTAGCCCCATGATTGGTTATTTACTGTCTTTAGTCCATTGGATAAATCATAGTCAACCACCACTCCTAATCTCTTCATATACTCGAGCTTACAGTACCTATCTATTATCAGCTCCTCATATGATTACCTCCACCCTGAGAGAACAAGGATTTTACGAATCAGATGCATTAGAAAGTCTCCGAGTGTGCCAAGCGTTTAATTTGGTCAATGCACTCCGTTTTTCTCATTGTGATACACAGAGGAGCCGCTCAGCTGTAAGCTTTTACCTTTGCTACTCATCCGCTTACTTATTGCACAAATTACGGATATCGATCACTGAAGGCATGGCCATATGCTACTCGTTAGAGGGGGAGGGACTGAAGTTGCCCTGGGTTCCACAATTTAGCAAATGATCCTTCATGATTGATAAAATGGTACTAATACAGCATTAAACCGTTTTTCGTGGTCAATCTGTCGTCCCGAATAGCTTAAGCCGACATGTTTGTGGTAATCCTCGGATCCCATTACTGATATTGTTGATCCACTGAACACATTTTAGTGGCCTATTCCGCACCTACTAATTTGTCACCAAGTAACCAGAGATAATAAAGTCACTTTGTTCTAATCTTATTAGCATGAAATCAGCACAAAACGCATAACACTCAAAACTTTGCATAAACTCGTGAGTGTTTCGTGAACCCTAGCCTAGGTTTCCCATATAGACATCCGGAGACACAGGGAAGTGACCAAAATCAAACCTGATCCGTTTGCATTTAGTTATCCATTCGTGTGATAATTGTTGATCACAGATAGGAAACACAGGTACGCAGAATCTGTCCCTACAAGACTTTAACAAAATATGTCGGTGGAAAACAATCTTATTTTCGGTAGTTAATCAACTGGTCAATCGCATTGCGTCTTTTAGTCACGGAAAACGAGGCTGGATGGGAGGACGTAAGCAGATATTTTCGAGATTATGGTGTTATGCGAATGCTTCAATTGAGGGTAATTGTCGTCAGTCCCTCGTTTTTCAGCGTGAGTGTCGGGTTGTTTGACCGGGGTTACTGCACAAGCGCACGTGTCGACGTCGACGAGACGCCCAATTATTTATCAAGTGGTTTATGCTTTTAGTCTTCACAAGATTTACTATAACAGTATCCCTTCGCACTTTTATCCCTTTATGGGTGTCTTTTGAAGTGAAATTTTATGTGCACTCAGAGAAGTTGTTCAAGTTTATCTACCGGAAGACACGAAACTTCCCACGTTAAGTATTCAGTACCTCCTATTGAGGGGAACATTATTAAGCAACGAGGTTCCATCCACCGACATATAATGTGCACTAGAGAGAAATTCCCAAACAATACCAATTTTCTACATTATCTTTGATGATATCCTGCTATCGAGGTGTATCGGGCAACTTGGATTTTTGACCTCGTCCAAAAGGTGTATGATCAGGTTAACTGGACACCGGCCCCCAATGTCTTACGGTCTTCACACACCGCGGGTCAGACTTCGGCCGATCAAAGGCTCCGATTGTGAATTCCCCAAGAGAAGTCACCCACCTAGGTAACCGGGATGTATTCCGCCCATGAACAAATCATGGAACTTTGTCTTTTTTATAAAGATTAATGTTCTACGATTTGTTTGAAACAATCTGGCGTCAGACGCGTGTGAGATTTAATAAACGATATCCCGCTAGATGAGTCTTTTGCAGGATCAAAGCTTTTTGTCTCGCATGAACTTTCGGATTCAGAGAAATCAACCCGAAAGACGGTAAGTTGCAGGAATCGAGAAGTTAATCTCAATAGGATGATTGCAGTATTTGAAGGCTGAACCTGATTCTCGACGAATGAGAGGTAAACTGATGAAATATCTTGTATGGAAAAAGCATTAATCCAAACAATTTGAAGACTGTAACAGAAAAGAATAATTATTTAATTCACTTACTTTCCAAAAAACTTGATCTGTTGACGCGACCATTCGTGGGACATGGTAACTTCCAGAAATGCGGAAGAGCTATGTACGATTACGTTCGCACATCTGACATCCAGCAGGTTTCGATGATGTCATGTGTTGAATAGTGATCACGGGTCACTAAAAATGTGTAATGCCGTGAAATGTGTCGGTAAATCAAAGGTCACTGGGATGAGTGGGGGGCAGATTGTGAAAAAGCTTTTGGTCGGTAACCGTTCGTGTTCAGAAGCATCCCAACTAACGACTCAATGTACCATTTCGCTATGCACCGTCTGGTGGTGTTTAAATTCAACACTGAAATGGCATCAAGGCGTTTGAATCATAAAACAAATCGATTGTCGGGGCAATCACTGTAGGGAAAGGCCTAGATTGTTTTCACAATGGGCTCCGAATTGTTCCATTCATCATGTTTCACTGTTCTATTGGCGTAAATAGACAATTTTTATCGCGTTTTTTTCACTCAAGGTTGAATGACTTTGGAGCCATTGTGAAGTTCTCTAAAAGGACTTGTAATAAAATGCGCAGCAAAAAAAACGAGCAGTGACGAATTTCTGTGTTTCGTCAGTCGTAAAAACAGAAAATGGTGATAACGGAAGGCGCATTGTTATTGTGCCTCAAGGTCGATTGATTTCAAAGTACAAAACGCAGATTTGCCGTTTCAATCGGCTAAGTTCGATGGACCAGATAACGCCAGACGGGGGGGGGGCGGAATACTTAATCAGTGGATTGGTTGTTGGTATTCATTTGTTTGGATTCCGGGCTCCCACTCACTGTGATGTCAATCTATGTCAGAATTTATACCTACATAGGGGACCAGGTTAACATATTCGGATGTTAATCTGTTCCTTGTCGTTGCTCAGGCCTAAATTTGCCAAGGATTGACGGAGTTCTTCATTCACAAACTCTGACCTGATAAAGCGATGAAGATCACGCGAATTGTGTGGGATAGACTGGAATTCTGATGGCGTTATTGTTTTCGTGAAATTTCATTTGCATAGTTCACCCTTTTATACGAGTGCGAATTCGAACTAACAAAGTAAGTTGGAGTCACACTGCAAGACGGAACAAATGCAAAGATTTCGTGTATTGATCAATGGAACAAATCTGCTAACAACTCCCCAAAATTTGTTCGCATGCAATATCGGTTGTTGAAGCAAGTAATTCAGTTTTCAGGATTCAAATTTTGGTAATTGAAGCACAGTTTGATGTGAATTACGCATGGCGAGTGATAAGGACTGAAGGTCCGGCATCGATTTAATATATCCAGTGTTCCTGGGTCAGTTTTATTTTATGGTATCGCTCACCTCAGTTTCCTCCCAGGAAGGTGATTCAAAGTCAAAGTCAAAGTTTTATTATGGGAATAGCTTACAAGCTGGTGCTTCTCTTGTCCCATAGGATGTTTACATAGATGAATCGTTACACATCAAAAAAGGAGTCACATAGAGATCCGGGTAGGAGATAGAGAATGTAGGCTACAGTGAATCCCGTTTGCCTTTAGTGTACGAATGTGAGGTGTGCCAAGATTTTGTCGAGTCTCTGCTTGAAAGATTCAATGGTGGGTGCACAAACGACATGAGATGGAAGGGCATTCCAAGATTTGCATACTCTGACAGATGAACAGATGATCGTCAGTTTCAACCTTGAGTGGTGTTCGGACAAACGTATCTAAATCAAGTCAGATACCCAGCGCAACAAACTTTACCAACCTTGATTAACGAAATACTCTGTCTGTAATGACAAATTTCTATGGAAATGTGAGGCTTTTCATGAGCATGATGATAGTTTAACTAAAATGCTGATCAGAACAACCAGATGCTGTTAATTCCGACCGCACAAAACCGTTTTGGAGCACATGGGCCAAGAATCAGACGAGTAAATGCAAGTTCATGTATATCCTTTCAATTATACAAAACAAACAAATGGTTGAGCTTTATGACAGACATAAATGCGTGGTGGATGTCGCAAATCGATTACATAGATGTATTTAAAAGAAGTCTAATCTTAGAGAGGAATTTGTGCTGTTTTGTAGGAAAACTGTGTCGCCACCTA